CCCCCCCCCCCCCCTTCACTCACCCCTCGCCTCCTCCCCGTTTCTCTCTTTCTCTCCGCCCGTTTCCTCGCCGCAGACCGCTGCTGCAGACTCGGCGGCGTATCGACGCTTCATCAAGCGAGCGGCGCACGTGAGGGCGATCGCCTCGGAGATGAGCCCTCGTCTACTACGTGATAACTCGCGGCCGCGCTCGAAAACGCGTATCATCGCGCGAACGTAGCCGCGGAACAATTACCAACCGGCCGTACAACACCCCGCGCGCGCATTTTATGCGCGAGACAATGCTCGTTTTCGCGGCGGTGAGTCGGCGATTGAGCCGTCAAACGTGAATGTCCGCGAAAGAAGATATCGCTCGGCGAGCGGCGAAATCGATTCGTTTCGCCGCCACGTGCAAAAGCGAGACGGAGTGCGAAAGAAAGAGCGAGCGAGCGAGCGAGAGAGAGAGAGAAAGGGAGGGAGAGGAACGTTTTGTAGCGCGTTTTGCGAAACGTCGTAGCGTTATTCCCACGAGATGCGCTTTCAATGTCGCCGGCTCGTGGGAATGAACTTCACGTCGGTCGTCACGTGTCCACGCGACAGTCCCTCATCTCTCTCTCTCTCTTTCTCTCTCCGTAGCCCGATCATTGATCGACCTTCCGCGCGCGCCGGACCGTCTGGCTCTCGAATCGCTGCGCGAAATTAGTGGTGAAAATTCCCGCGAGCGGTTCACAGTCGGTCCCCGACGCTCGACGGATCCCCGCGAAGAAATGGGAGGAGGTAGAGGAGTTTGATTGTTATTTCCTCTTTCATTCTCCCCTGCCTGCCTCTGTCCTCCCTCCCATCTCTCCGCCTATCTCGGTGACGCGTGCTCGTCGGCGAGCAATTTAAAGGGCCGCGTCGAAACGCACTCCTCCGCTATTGAGTCCATTAAAGAACATTAATCTGGAGGAGTTATCATCGAGGAGGCGGATCTGAGAGTACCGAAAGTCGTCGGCGCGAGGCTACGACAAAGAGTCGCGAGAGGAGTCGAGGAACGAGAGTGAGGGAGAAGGAGAGAGGAAGTCTCAGGGATCGGGGGGAAGGTTGGGGCCGCGAGGAGGAGGGCTCGTTTGCAATGACGAAACTCTCACTTTACCTCTCGGAGGTCCAGACGAGATTTCGCCACTCGAGCCGCTTTTCTCTCCTCTCATCGTGGAATCGTCCCCCGTCTTTCTCTCCAATGCTCCTTCACCCCGTTCTCTCTCCTCCCTCCTTCGATCTCTCCACGCACCCTTTACTCTCTCTCTCTCTCTCTCTCTCTCCCTTTCCCTCCGGCGTTCGCCGGAGATCGTTCCGTCTCTTTCCGTTCGTCGCTTCTCACTGGCTCCACTCCGCGTCCCGGCGAGTCGTGTTTAAATGCACAAACGAAGCGACGGATCAAAGGGACCGCCGGCAGCGCACGCACAGCGCAAGAACGGCAGGACGAGGAGGGAAGGAGAGCGCACGGGAAGGAGGAAAAGAGACGACGCGATAAAAAGGAAGAGGGGGGGGGGAGTAACGTTTATTATTATCATCGTACGCGCACGGCCCTCCCTCGTCGTCGTCGCTCCTTCAGCATCCAGTAACCTCACGCAGCGAGATTAACTTTCGTGTAAACAGGCCGCCGCCACCATCGAGCGTGCACGCGCACACGCCCACGCG